TGCTGTTTAACCCTTGTAATAGCTTCACCCTTGCAGGTTATGATCCTCGCACTGTTGGAAAAAATTGCCAATTCATAGACAGTTAACTAGTAATTTTCATGAAGAAGACATTGAATTCATGTCAGAGGGCAGAATCATGAAACTTCAGTTTTCACTGAAAATTAAATGAAATTTCAAATCTTTAAGCAGCAGGAAGATGAGAATTTCCTGACCTCCTAGAATGTAAAATAATACCATATGAACATTCAGTATCAAATGCCGCTAAATTATCAATATATTGATATTCAAGAATATATTTACTTGAATTTTCCCGATTTCTATCAATTTCTAAGGCAGAATTGAATTGAAATTCACGGTTTTCATTGATTTTTGCATGAAGTTTTCAATGAAAAAATTCCTTGGAAGATCAGTGGAGTTATAATGAAATAAAAGTTTCCGAAAAGTGTACAGAAAATTTCGGTCAGAATTTTTCAAAAGTGGGCGACGTTTGATTCGCGAGGTATGATACGCGCGACGTTTGACCCTCACGAGGCATTTTCTTTAATATAACTTCCTTTTTTATATGTAATCTGTAAGCCAACGTTACATGAACAACGAACACTGAACTCATTTCTCTTATCGGAAAACGAAAGAAGCCACAGGCGTCTCATTTTGCCCCGGGGTCTCTTCTTGCCCCCAGATCTGTTTTGCTCCAGCTGTAGCCATTAATGTCGAAAAAAAATTTCATGAAATTTTTTTTTTCTTATTTCCATATGGAAATCACATTTTGAAATACCCCGAAAAATTTGTATATTATTATCATCTATTGAAGAAAAAAAGAATCAATTGATTTTCGACTAGCCCCTGTGTAACAGTAGAGTTTGAAAAATAAAAAAATCGAAAAAAGGATATTATTTATCCTCGGATTACTTTCGTATTTTTCTTTGAAAAGGACATGAAAAACGAAAAAAAATCTTTTTTTATTTATCAAAATCCGTCAATTGGTTTGCAAGATATGATTTTTCAAAAATTTGAGTTTTTGATGCATGTCGTAGACAAACATTTGATGTTAAAGGCGAGAAAATTTAGAGAAAGCATGTACTTATGTAGTACTTGACTGTCAGCATGTCAATTCACGATTCTAAGAATCAAACAAATTGATGGTGGCTGAGTTGATATGGAATGTCCCACCTGTGTATATAAGTGAAACTGATTCATTTACCTGGAAGGATGACGCGCCGAGTATTAACAACATAAAATAAGCCATGATGAATCACTCAGTGACTGTTAATTTACAGAAAATACCAAAATTATCCATAGGTAGCTATTTTTCTCTATCCACGCTTAACTAATCATTTTTTCAAACTTCAATTAATGAATTCGCTGACCGTAACTAAATAAGCTTGAAATTGTTATCAATGACTTATTAACACAAAATTTCCCCATGTACTGTGATTAACGAATCACTTAATTCCATAAATATTCAAAATTTCAGGCTCATATGATGATGAGAATGATTATAAATAATTCAAAATCAATTTCATTGAATTTCGAAGAAAAATTAAAAAAAATTTATCACCTATTTACAGCATTAAGCCTATTAAGCTACCTAAATCATTCCTATGCACCTACCACCAAAAGTTAAAGAATTTATAACAATGTATTTGAAGGCATGATTGTAGAAATTCAACAGAAAGTTTGGGATAAAATAAAAGTTTTATTAAAGTGGAAATTTCAAGATAGTGAACAATAATTAGAGGCAAATGGGTGGATGAGGTCATCCATTTATTGATAAATGAGGAGAATTGAAGATATTCGATTTGATGTTGAATGGCCTTTGAACAGGTAAATTTCTAAGGGGACCTTAGTAGGATTAACCCAGTGACACATACTATTCTTTTTTACGCAGCACAGCATGCCATCTGAGAGTGCAGGTAAAATAAAATGAGTTCTAAGAACTCTTCGTGTCATTATAATAATCCTGTCCTTTCACCATCTCGAGATTCCACTACAAAGAGGCATATTGAAGTGTACATAGACACTTTGGGCGCCAGCATTTGTTTTGATTGACTTTTAAGACAAGCAAATCCCCATACTGTCAGAGATATAATTGAATTATCAATCGGAAATAAATCGAGACATGCAGTAGCGTACTGTCATTTAATTCAAATCAATTGCGCATTGCGCTCTTTCCATTAGGCTGAGCGTGCAGAAAAGGGGTTGGGCCTTGTTGTGTAGAGTAGCGATGATAATGTAGATTCCTCACTAATTTCCTAGTGACGCCCTTTTCGTGGTAGATATTCAAACGAATATAATGTCGTAGATTTGATTGATTTGAATGTAATTAATAAGAATAACTAAAATTAGATAAACGTAAAATAAATCGAGTAAATTAAAGAATTGCCACTGGGAAATTGGGTTAAAGTGAAATAGAAAATAGAGATAGAAAAATGAATAGAAGCTGAATATTCCCCAAATTCCTGAAGTTTGTGATAGTCGTATTTGGGAATGACAAACGGTTATTGTTTGATTGCACTCCACGTAGACCCGAAAATTCTCGTTCAAAATTATTTCTCTCGGAATTTATTAAACCCGGCAGTAAAAGTCCCTTCATTAGGAATCTGCGCGAACTTTAATCCACCATAAACTGTCTTGCTTGCTTTCGGACCCATTATTCACCCGTTGTAAAGGTTTTGCCACTTTCCTTAAATTTCGGTTCCGTTGTAAAATACTTTTCGCTGCACGACAGACTAATAAAACCTTACCATAAAAGTCGACGAAATTTGCCTTAATATGTCTAGACGGTCCCTCGAGTCCTAATCTGGGAAATGACGTCTTCCCGTCTTTTTGCACCTGGAGACGCTCTCCCCCTAGTTCAGATACGTTGGGCCCTACGTCATAGGTTTGTGGGGGTGGAGAGTAGGAGGGACCCAAGGTCAAGCGTCGTGGGGGCGAAAAGCGCAGCCCTTCGAAATAACGAAGGTGACGATTGGCTCCCTGCTCCTCTCGAGGGGTGTAACTTAAACTTAAGATAATTTTAAGGAAGTAGCGTAAGAGAAAATTGTTAGAATAAGATTCATTCCTGTCTCCGAGTTCGTAGAGTAAACACGTTTAGAATTTCGAGAGTTATTCGAAGAATTGTCGCATTTGATTTCGAAAGAGTTAAGAACATTTGTATTATTGTGTGTAAATTTTGAAGAAGATTTAAGTGATTAAAAGTATGAGTGATTTGTCATAACATAAAAACAAGTCTTGAATATTCTTTTTGAAACCTTCCCGCTTTTAGCGAGCAGAGTGCTTCAGCGCTCCACGGGCAACTTATCCACTGCCCTGTGAAAACTCACCCAACGGAAACTACTACACAAGAGCCTCAAGGATCCCGCTGGGAAAATTCCATAATTGAGGTTAAAAATCTTCTACATTCTTCTACAGGACAACTGTTTGTCCTAGAACATCATTTCCTATATCGAATTTGTGTGGAATTTTCTCTTCTGCACTGTCGTATGTTTTTTATTTCAATCGATTGAGTCCAGTCGAAACCGAGAATGTTTATAGTGTTGACTCCAACGAACACTGGTTGTTTTTAATTATTTTCAATTTTTCTGCATTACAGAACGTAAAAATATTGGTGAACATTGTTTCAGGACATTTTTATGTATCTATTAGTATTTTTATGTAGTATTAGTATGTAGTATTAGTGTATTAGTTTTGTTCATGCTCAACAAGTTAATTGGGTGGTTGTGCTATTTTTGAGTCTACTTTGACTGCACTGGAGACTCTCGACCCGGAAAAATCCGCAGGCAAATTTTTATATCACATAAAACGAAATTAGCTGTGAAGGAGTCGAATTTCAAAAAACTTATTCGTAATTGTTTTACACACATTTTTTCAAAAATTTTGAAAAAAAACTCTGTAGCTCAAAAGTTGGAGGCCCTGGACTATTTTTAACAATTTAAGCGTGTGCGGGGCAAACGACCAATAAACAATCAATTTTTTTGCACTAATTATTCGTTCTTAGAGATGAGTCACTCAAATTGCCCGTGACTTTCGAAACTCTTCGCTAGGAACTTAGCCGGACGGGGGTGGTAAATAGAAAACCGAATTTATGTACTCGATTGTACATCGTTAGTACATGATTGTACACGCCATATTTTTTTTGTACATTCCCTAATTAATTAACATTAATTATTGAAAATTTTCCATGATGCTGGCCGAAACGAAATAAAAAATTGCTTAATTAGGGCAAAAAAACAGTGAAATCGATAGAACTCTGTTTGTACATCACGAATTTACCTTTTTTTCGTTTGTACATTCATTTCTTAATTAACTAAATGCAGATAAACGATTTAAATACACCGCCCCTCCCCCGCCGAACAGCTGTTTGCGGCGGATCTGTGTTATCAACAATAACGTTCAAGCCTCGGTGTTGTATACATATATATACATGTAAATATATATGTTTCATTTCGTAATTTTATATTTTTATAAGAAATATTAAATTGTACGACATAATATTTGATAGGCCGCGCATTATCTTGATTAGTTATTTGCAACCTTTGTGGATATGTGTGAATATATCACAGCCCAAAGGAACAACGCTGAGACTTGAACTTTATTGTCGATAACACAGATCCGCCGCGAATAGCTGATTAGTGGGGGGGGGGGGTGCCGTGTATGAAAATTGTTTATCTGCATTTAGTTAATTAAGAAATGAATGTACAAGCGAAAAAAAGGTAAATTTGTGATGTACAAACAAAGTTCTATCGATTTCACTGGTTATTTGCCCTAATTAAGCAATTTTTCATATCGTTTCGGCCAGCATTATGGCAAAATTACAATAATTAATATTAATTAATTAGGGAAAGTACAAAAAAAATATGGCATGTACAATCATGTACTAACGATGTACAATCGAGTACATAAATTCGTGTTTCTATTTATCACTCCTTTGCGGCTAAGTTCCTAGGGGTTCGAAACTCACAGTAGTCCTCCCTTCAAGAAAATGATTAATGTACACTCACTTTTCATTGCATCGTCGCGCCGAGTTTTGTACTGGCGGCGGAAGATTCAAACAGGGTTTAGTCTCAAATTGGCATTGGGGGCCGGAGAAGCTTTCTGAACACTCGCATTGATTAGGACCAATGCAAATACCATTATTCAAACATTGGGGAAGACAGACCGCTATAAGAGTAAAAAATGAATAATTTTTCAAATTAGAAAATTATAAAAAGTTTTTGCTCATTGAAGCCATCATTGTTTTTCAGCTTAAACTTACGTTGACAATCCGGGATAATGGATCCCTGTGTATCCGGTATTTTCCAGTTGCCATCTTGACACATGATAAGCAAAGTCTCGGCTCCATTTGGGAATTGATAGTATCTACTACAGGCGGCACGGCAGTGTCTAATTGAATAAGTAACGAAAATCAGTCCAATGATAGTAACATCAAATCAGTAGTCAATGATGTAAAAGATACATTGGAACGCGTTCTTGTAAGCAGGAGTGAAAATATTCAAAGAGATTATAAGTTAGATAACAATTTGAAATTCGACTATTTTTACAATTACTTTTCCTCTGAGTTGAGATCACGTGGCCTACTTCCTGTTATAAACGAGAAAGTTCCCTTCAATGGGGATGAGACTACTTTAGAGGATCACAAGTTTAAAGTTCGTGACATTTTGATAAATTATCTCGATCGAAATTACCCTTCTAAAGTTTTATTATTGAAAAGTCCACTTGAGATTCTAAATAAACTCAAAAGCATTAATAGATGTGAAGTAATCCAACATCTCATTCAGTTAGGCTAAAACGTTTTAGCATGCAATACATTATCGGCAAACACAGTGCAAACGATTTCTATGATTTTTTTGAAGACACAATCAGGACCCATGAAAACTCTCCAGGAGTCACTCCATTACATGAAGATAAGGAAAGGGATGCATTCTATAATGCAGGCATGCAGTTACAGATTCATTTCAGTATTTATAGATGATTTTTTATGATTGGCTATGGCGTATCCTATGAGCCAAGAGTGACATTGGGCACTGTCTGGAAATGTTTGTTAGGAGCACACATAATCTACTAGGTTATGATGCGCAGGTGTGCTACTTGCGAAGCGATTAAGGGACAGAATATACAGGCGGAGAAACTATTGAAGTATTGATGAAATTAGGTGCAGAATCTCAATTATTCTCCCCAGGTACCTATAATCGTACTTCTCACAAGTCAAATAACATGATTACACCTCTTGAAAAGTTTACCCCTGAACACAATTTTGAGATTAAACAAATTAAAAGATTCGGTTGCTTGGCATACATGAAAGTCCAGAGGAAAACTGGCTCAAAGTTCAGACCAGAAGATAGACGGGCAATTCTAGTTAGTTATACCCCAATAGGATATCAACTCTTGAGACCGGAGGGAAGAAAATATTATAAGAGTCGAAACGTGAGATTCAATGAAAAATTAGTCTACGGAGAAAAATACAGTAAGAATAGCATTAATGATTTTCCTTTGGTGAATGAAGAAATTAGTAAAGAGAATTGGTTTGTTAAATTTGATAATAAAAATGAAGATGAGTCCAAAGAGTCTTTGAAATCGGAGTGAGAGGCCAAACAAAAAAGAGGCAGACCTAAGAAAGATAAATTGAAAATAGATGAATTAGAGTCGAAGAAAGCTGATGTTCGCGAATCGATAAATGATACAAGTTTTTCGAAATTGTCTATTGATGAGAACTTTAAGACGAGTGCTTTATTCTCTAGTGCTATGATTGACCAGTGCAAGAGTTATAGAGGCCATGAAAATGATGAAGTATTTCATGCACTCTTGGCAGATATTAATTTAGATCCAATAAATTATAATGAGGGAATGAAGACCAATGATAAACATTTGTGGCAAAATGCAATAAACAATGAGTTGAACTCAGTGTCGAAAAATAAGGTTTGAAGAATAGTAGACCGACCTTCTAAATTAAGCAAATTAAGCAAATGTGATAGATTCAAGATGGGTTTCTAAATACAAGACAGAAACAAATGGAAGAATTCGACATAAAGCGCGTCTAGTAATCCGAGGATTTAAAGATAGAAACATTTATGAATTGAGTGAAACTGTGCTTCAGTATCGAGATTGCCACTAGTCCGTGCAGTAATAGCTATTATCAATAAACACAACTTAGATGTATGTCAATTAGACGTGAAGACTGCATTTCTTAATGGAATCATAAACGAAGAAATTTATATGTAAATACTAGAGGGGACCTTGTATTCAAATGCAGTAAGACGAGACAAAGTGTGTAAATTGGAGAGAGCTCTGTATGGTCTACGCATTAGCCCTAAAAATTGGAATGACAGATTTACAAAAGCTGTATTAGATATGGGATTGAAAATTTCAGGTTCAAAACCATGCTTATTCACTCGGAGAAATGAAGACAGGTTCTTAATTCTTTTGCTATACGTGGATGACATACTGATGGCGAGAAATGACAAACTGAAATTAAGTGAAGTTGAAACAAAATTCAGTAAAGAATTTGAAATGACTATTCTGGGAGAACCTAAAGAATTCTTGAGTATTTCCATTAGACGAGATAATTAGAAATAATTAGACGAGATAGAAAATTGGAGACTATTGAGTGGAATCAAGAAAAGGACATGGATAAAATTTTGAATAGATTTGGTTTTGCTGAGTCTCGTCCCCGAAGAACCCCCATTATTATGACTCAAGCGACTAACAGAGAATGAAAAATGAGAGAAACTGAATGCGAAGAGTTTTTGCTTAACACGAAGACTAAAGAGAATTTTTCTTACAGAGTTCCGCGAAGCGGGAGGGAACTCTGACTTTGCGCCTACGCCGAGACGGAACCCAAGTAGCAAACCTTGCGAAAGATATCTGAAAGAATACCAAAAGGGCTGACTAATGTCCGTCCAAAAGGTATCTTGCAGTCATACGATAACTTTTAGTTAACTTCTAGGTAACTTCTAGACACAAGTTACCTTTTTGGACAGACATTAGACAGCCTTTTTGGTATACTTGCAGATACCCTCCGGAACTGTGCTGCTTGGGAAAATCGCGTTCTAACCATGGGAAGTAAAATAAAGGACCCTCAGCCGCGTGCTTAGAAACCTCGCCTTCGGCTCGGCTGGTAATTGCACTGGCGGCTGAGGATCCTTTATTTTCCCTCCCTAGGTTAGAAATACACTATTTATAGGAAATATGTAAGCTGGGTTTACTACTCGTTAGGTGAGGATTCTGCGATGAGGGGATTGATTTATCTGCAAGGAAACCCAGGAACGTGCGGGAGGGAGTGTCGGATATGAAGAGCGCCCTCTCCTGGCTCCACTTGAGAAATACGATTACTCTTGTACTTCTATCAAGGGACGCAGTTGCGTCCTGTACGGGTCCAAGAACGGGTGCAACTTCACCCCCCCCCCCGACCACCAAAACCGTTTTTATTCTTTTCCACACGAATTTCAAACCGCAGCACATTTTGAATTATACTTTTACTATGTAATGTTGCTATAAGCCATCCATTGCAATTTTTATTACATTTTTTCATGTTAAAATGTATTAAATATGACGATATAAAGAATTTCAGCGTGCGTCTTTTCTTCATTTTTCTCATCGTAAAACGTTCGAGGCAGATTTTAGTGGAGACGTTGGTACCATTGATTTCTATCTCGCGATCTCGTGAGATCCCAAGCAGCACAGTTCCGGAGGGTATCTGCAAGTATACCAAAAAGGCTGTCTAATGTCTGTCCAAAAAGGTAACTTGTGTCTAGAAGTTACCTAGAAGTTAACTAAAAGTTATCGTATGACTGCAAGATACCTTTTGGACGGACATTAGTCAGCCCTTTTGGTATTCTTTCAGATATCTTTCGCAAGGTTTGCTACTTGGGATGTTGGGAGTTGGCTGTGTTGGATTACGTCAGTCCGACATTCGAAAGGGATTGGTGGATCGGACCCGCTTTATGATAGCACTCGACATAAACACCGGCGTCTTCTGTCAATTACACGGAATGGTTCTCGTTCGATTAAGGATGTTCTACACCCTTTCTGCCAAAATTCACGTTTTTTTAATTTTTCTGGCAAACTTATGATGGAATTGACGTGAAAAAATATAACGTTTTTGCGTTTTGTCATTATTTAATGACTGACGAAATTTTAAGGTGGTGCGAACATTTTCCTGCGTTTTCTCTAAACTTTTAAAAAGAATCACAAAACTGTAGAAAAAACGCATGAAAATTATCGCACCACTGCGCAACTTCGTGAGCCATTAAAGAATGACAAACCACAAAATCGTTATATTTTTTCACGTCACTCCCATCGATAATTTGCCAGAAAAATGAAAACAACGTCAATTTTGGCTAAAAGGGTGTCGAACATCCTTAATAAAAATGTGTACTAAATAACCACTCACCCAGGACAGTGATGGGTGATAGTGGTGAAAAATTGTAAATATATTCATCGACACCATGATTTTGATTAACATTAATTCTCGTTTGTGGGATAAGTTATGCCAAAACAAAAATCTACTCTCGTGGAAATTCATCGACAGATTCGGCCAAATAATGACATACAATTTCAAAAAATGTCAAAAAACGAGAAATATTCGGAATTTTTACATAAAAATACAGAATTTGATATAAAATGACAAATTTTATCCGATTTTTTTTTTACATATTTTCCCAAAAAATGTCATATTCTGTCAAGTCGGTAAAATGTCATAAAATGTCAGAATATAACAACCAATTTAGTAATATGATAAAAAATGTTATGATACATGAAATTATGTCCGATTTTTAATGTCATAATTTGTCATATAATGACATTATGAAACATCTGATGTCATATTTTGTCATATTATGACGTTTTCTGACGAACACCTGTGCTAACAATAGCCACAGAAAAGGTCAGAATATGACAAAATATGACATAATAAAACATTTCATGTCATATTTTCACAGATTTTGTCAGGGTTGTTTTAATGACATAAAATGGAGAATTCTGAAAATTGCGTTATTTGACAAATTCCGACAAATAACAAGATATAACATTAAAATTTGGCATTTGCTGATTGAATATCGGAAAGTGTCAGAAAATGGGAAATTATGATATATTCTGTACAAAAATTGAATGAGGGACTCGAAGTTTTCAAGATTTTGTAATTAGGATACTTTCGTTTGATTAATTTAAAATGTTAATTAATTAATCAATGATCAAGTGGACGATGGAGCAATATAGAATATGAGAGGGAGAGGGGAGTTATAGATTGGAGGGGGACTACCACTATCTAATCTACCTGTCTCGCGAATCGCCTCATTCTATTTTACCCCACTGTTCCTTCCATGTTTCCTCTTAACTTTGCCTCTCGCTCTTTGACCTCTGCTATCCCGTACTACCCCTTGTTCTCCTCGTATCATTCCCATCCCATGAATTGCCTATATAAACTCCAAAAATATTAGTCTTATCAGCAATGCAACCATACGGCCTAGAGGACTTTCGGACATGCAGCGATCATCGAAGCTAGACATCATCGAGCCGGGTCAGTAACAGGATGGGTGGCCATTAGGGAACACCGAAAGAACCGTTCAACCGAAGTCTTTTTTTTATATACAGGGTGTTTCCAAATTACTAATAAATCTCTCGTCCAGTGATAGATTGGCGTCCCCTGAATATGGGAAAAATGTAAAAAAAAAAATCTAGTTCAATAATTTTTGAACTATTGACGTTCAATATCGACCAATTGGGATGGGCGTATTTTGCTGTATCGAGCGTAGACGAGAGTTCAATTACATTTTTTAGTTTTTATTTATTTGTCTTTTATTTATTGCTCCCAAATACTTATAACTCTATCACAAACAAATGGAGGAGATATTCTATCACATTACTAAATAATTTAAAAATTATTAGTATTCTCTATAAATAATTTATAAAGAATTATTTTTGGATCATAAAAATTATTTTTTCCAAATCGTAACAAATTTATTCGTATTCAGAATTTTACCAAAAATCTATTTCATGCCTCAGAAAATAAGGTTTTTAAAGGTTTAAACAATTTCAATTATTTATTATAAACAACGAAAGTTAAAAAAAATAATAATTTTGTACAAAATGTAATTGTAATGACGTTGAATGCTCATGATCTTTTCAATTTTGTTTTACATAATTTAATTGACACATTGAATGATTGAAAATGGTTGAATCTATAGTGTGGTTTGTACCAAACTGTAAAAAAAAACTTGGATATCCTTAAATAATACTTTACATATAGCGTGATGATTAATGATATTCGACTTATTATTAGCTGTTAGTTCTGCAATACAGAAAATTACAATAATTCCACTGAAGAATTGCGAAAAACATTAAGGATAATCGGGCGAGGAGGAAATGTAGGAGGGGAGGCGGGGGGGTTTCTATTGTTTTCCTACAGAAAACCAATCGCTGAACAAAAAAATTTTTCCCATTCGGATTCAAAATTCAGGCAATATTAGGGAGTGTCTCCGATTAAAAATTATTTTTGGAGTTAATCAAATTTATTTGTATCTATTCCACGCATTGAATGGTTTTCAGATTGTTTTTTTTTTAATAAATGAAAAAATATTAATCCATGCAAAAAAGTGGCAACATCGTCGGTAGTTTTTTTTTCACCAGGAGCTGGTACCACTGGCTCGAGGGAGCTCCGATCACAACGCTTCATCGCTCTCTCAAGAGACGTTTAAATTGGACGCGCTACCCCCACCCAATCGGTACGTGGGACGTTGCTGCTCGTTTGGGCTGCGTGCGCAGAAATTTCATTTTTCAGTACTTTTTTCGCTATTATTAATAAATAATGCTCCTAGGCGACAATCTTTCTCACACAAAAAATCATTGATCACATGTTCTAAATGTGTCTAAAGTTTCATGACTTTGGCCGCATTTTTTCCTTGGGTTTTGCCGTTTTTTTGTGATTTCCATAAGATCACGGGTTAAATGACCACTTTTTCAAAAATTCATAATAAATTAACCGTGCCGCCCAGCAGTCTGAAACTTTGCACACGCCTTTTCTATCATTTAAAGTAATACGTAAAAAAAAAAGAAAAAAATTGCTGCTTTCTTTCTAACCCTCCGGGCTCGCCCGATTATCCTTCAATCAGAATCTGTAGATTTTATGTTTTTCTGCAGAAAGTGAAAAACCAAAAATCCAAAAAAATCTGAATTGCAGAAAACATTAAAGAACTTACCCAGTTCCGGAACAGCTGATCCGTCCATTGATCGGGGGATTCGGAATTTCTCCACAATTACCGATTGACCCATAATACCCTGCAGGACTTTTGGCTGAATCTGCTTCAAATTTTTCTTCGCTACGGTGGTGGCTGAGGTTAACAATACAATGAATAGAAAATATACAGAATAGCAGGTAAGATTATAAAAAATCTTTATACGACTGGGCCGTCATAATAATTAATATATTGGGAACTTGAATAACGTCTCACGGACTAAATGAACATTATTCATCTTCTTCAGGAGAAGGAATCTCTGAGAATGAATACTTTGAGGTGTTCGATTACAGGATAGTTTTCGAACACTAAGCGATTCACTCAGCCCACAAAACAATTGTAAACGATGGGAATGAGAAGAAATTGTTCATGATGATTCCACACTTTCGACTGAGGTAAATGTACCTTTGCTCATCCCTGTCTCTATGCTCGTTCAAGTGTCGTGAGGTATCATATTTTAATCATTTTAACAGTCCCACGACTCTATCGAGAGTAAAATACGGTTGGAGTTATTATTTTAGTTAATAAGGAATGTTATCGACTTCACTGAACAATGATTTATTGAATAATAAGAGAGAAAAATCCCATTCACATCAACTAGTGCTACGACAGAGTGAATCTTTAAAAATAATAAAAATGGATAAATTACAGTAATATCTTAATATTTACCAGAAACGTCGGCAATTAAAAGAATAGGTACAATGGAAATGATATTGAACCTATACTCGTTTTGCACCCAACTGTCAACTGGTAACCGCGACTAAGCGAATGAAAAAATCATTTAAAAGTTGTTTCATTCCAAATTGGATACGTACAATGTGATTAATTCGAATATACAAATTAATTAATTCATAGACGAGGATAGGGACATGTGTCGAACATGCATGGGAACAAATGATCGAACGTAGGGACGTGGAACTTTCTACGTTTATGGACGATTATTTATTAAAAAATAGTAATTATCATCATTAATATAAGTGAATTCTAATTCTAACGTTTTTACGTTCTGATATATCTACTTTAAAACGTTGCATCTTTACATTCATTTCAATTGAAATAAGGGACTAATGATGTGTTCATCTTATCTACACTAGCGTAGGATCATTTACCTTCAGAGAATGTAATTTCTAATAGCGCTGGATTTTAAAAATTTATTTCGCTAGATTTTTAAATATTGATAATAGGGAAAAAAATACGATTGATTACTGCGACATTCCATAATAAATTAACAATTACAGATTCTCTGTTATTGACACTAATCAAAACTAGACATATGTATATGTTTCGCTTTTGTTTGAGTTCGAATGTAAATAAATATGTTCTTATTATTTTCATACCTGTGGTATGACCCACAAGGGTCTACATATGACTGAATAAGTAAACAAATACTGAAAATGTTATTTTTTTAAATGTTGTTGGAAGAAAATTGTTCTAAAACGCATGTGAAGTTTATGTCACAAACATCTCCAAAAGTGGTGAAATACTCGGGTATTCTTTTCAAAAACTTATGGATAACGAAAAAGGTCTCTTCTTCCGTCAAAACCCATGGTTCCGTCAACATTTGCAAAATTACCTCTATAAAATTCGAATTTATCATTCATTTCCCGTTATTCACCACTTCACACGGAAAAAAAATCCCATAAAAATTATTGGGCTGGTGCAGTAAAATTGGTTAATTTTGACGGACCCAGAAAAAATTCTGCGCCAGCACCACAATTTTTTCTGCACGTTAAAGGAAGTTTTCTCGGATTTACCGTGAAAAATCCTTATATTTCACAGCAAAATTAACGGCCCTGGAATGTTTACCGGTCCGTAAAAATGAACCCATTGTACCATGTTTCACTGTAATTTGTATTATATTTTTTTCTTCATGCACTACTGAGTTCAATAGAAAAAAAAATTACCTCTCAAACTGGAGGAATTCACTCTTCGCCTTCCTCACTAATTCATCTTCACCGAAAATATGAACAACCGCCAGAAAGACAGTCAAATAAAAAAGGCAAGCAGAAATCATCGTAATAACTTCAAAGACTAAGGTACATAAACACCGGCCGAAGTCATGTCGGCCGAAAAACAAACTCATATGAGCTCCAGCATCTCATTTTTCCATATAAATATACTTGCAAAGGAAGCGGATAGCTGATTGGCGTTTGATAAATTTAATTAATTCATAAAAGGGGTCACTATAAATTTCGAATATTCCCAGGGAATTCTCCTGATAAGTTCCTTGCGGGTTTTCCATTATTGAATCATGTGGGGAATTTTGGAATAGTTGCTTCTAGAATTATTATCAGCGTGTACTACTATTCATTGTTAAGCTTCGCGCTTGACCTTTACACGAGTTATCCAAGGACTGCTGTGTATCTCTGAGTAATTTTTTCACTCAGAAATCATGTCACTGTCGCATGATTCATGGACCCGACGAATTTTATCTTATCCTTAATTGAGTAATATGCTATTGTTCTACATTTTACCTCTTGATAGTATAATGCTAAAAAAATAATGAGCACCCCAATTAACTGAAACCACAACGCACAATTTTCGTTGTGTATCGGCTATGGAAGGATATTAATTTATCATTTAATAATATGAGAGATATGCAAAGACCACTCGTTTCAAAACATTAAGCAGTATATTTAGTTCCAATTAGTGAGCGATATCATATTTACAAAATAGCTGCATGGAAATGCAGAAAGATTCCACTCCACGTATAAAAAAATTCTATAGCATTTTTTCATACGTGTCCTGGACGGATATTTACCTCAATTGATTCAAATTCTCTCAAAAATAAAATAACAATGTCAATCTAGTCAATGATAACTTGAATACTCAATAATAATTGTAGCAAAGTAATTAATTTATCTCTGCATACATTAATACTGTCATGTTTTTAACTAAAAATCTTTCGCGAAGTAGTTGGTGAGCGTGGGGTAAAACAACCCATCTTCAAATCGTCAATGCCTCCCGATTAAATAATATGATTTGGGTAAATTAGATTTCATTTTGAAACTTGAAAGAAAAAACATTTATAACGAAAAAAATCGGTAAATTCCACACTTCTACTCTGGCTGACGATTGAAGACAGTTCATTTTATCCCACCCCAGCTGATATATGAGAAGATGAGCCTAGAAATTTTATACAAATTATTTTATGAATATCTCCATATTCAATAGATTGAGAGGAAAAATTTGATGATTTTTACTGCAGTCGATGAAGTTTATAAAAAAACAATCTTTCATAAATTGCTTTAAACCTTTTCCTTAACGATAAGTTTACAAAATAGTCTCCAGAATCATTTCAGTATTATTAAAATAGCAAAATCAAACAGGACGACTCATCTTCTTCATAAGTTTTCGATGAATACATTCGAATACCAAGAGAAAGGACAATTTCGGATGAAGAGTCTCTATAACAAATATTTGTAGCTAAGGATAAGGTTGCTGTGCCACTTAGGTTACCTCCCTAGAAGACCGAAATATTCTACAAAAATGTATCTCAATTTCAAGATGACGTGTTTTGTTTTACCATTTCAATACTGATCTCTATTCGACTCATCAGCTATTCTTTATAACTCCACAACTTAAATAAACTATGGAAGATTCTGCAGCATTCGTCTATCATTTTCATAAGCTGTAATGATTGAGTGAAGCACATTTGTCATGTTCTCATAGTTCTTCTCGATGAACTGCGATGGATCCGAATACTTCGACCTCCAGATCTCATAGAATTTGTCATTTGAAATTCCCTCAACGTCCGTTATATTGAACTCCTCTTTCAGAGCTAATTTCCAAACATCCTCCTCAGGTACTGGCGTAGGTGCAGCCTTGTTTCCATAATGTCCCTCCACATTCTCATAAACATTTAAATGATACAACATGTAGTTAATAGTATGGAGCTTGTCAGGCTCGGAAATACTAAAGGTGACTGAATTTGGAGAGCAGCATTGGTCTCCAGTGGGGTACAGAGCCCTTGTAAAGTAGTTTCCTGGTTTGGCAACACCCCAGAGGAGAGTCTGGAGTGAATATCCATGGAATGTTCCTCTTAACTCATTATCTCTGGTGTCTGCTGGGTGAATGTTGAACCCTGTTAAATGCTTTCCCAGGTAATAATCCTCTTTCTTCCAGTATTTACCACCAGAAATACATTTCTCTGAGGTGTTGAATGTTTCTACGATCTTCTTGAAGGCTCCACTGCTCAGGACATAGCCGGCCTGTGCAATGTTGTATGACTGGCCCCAAAGAACGACTCCATGACCCAGATAATAATCCTGATTATGGTCCAGAGGTGCTAATAAGTATCTCAAATTCTCTGGTAGGACCATTGTGTCGTCTTTAACGAATATAATCCATTCCAAAGGTTCAGACGCTTCTGATTCTGCCAAAACTGTTGATTTCTTCCAGATGAAATTCATTGCTTCACATAATAATTGCCACGAAGAGGAGAGCTTCATTGGAAATTTCATAACTGGTATTTCTGCATTCTTTAAATCCTGGCTGAAGTAATAAATCTTATTGCAGCGTGGACCCCACGTCAATTTGATCGAATGTGCTAGTCTTGTATGTTCGACGAAAACCACACATGTTATATGAACTTTCGACCTGAGCCACTGAAATTCTAAGGCCTTTGGTGTCCCTTGATCTATCGAGACAGGCCCATAATTGGCGTCCAAATTGATCTCGTGGGTCTCCGCATGATGACCTCTCAGCCAAGATTCATAAGATGAATAATGAATCTTGACGTGATTATCCAACATGGACTGTTTTTGAGGTTTCCACAGTGCAAATGCCTGTGGTTTCTTGCAATTGTTTGCATCATAATCGTTTTTGATGACGTAAAGAATGACTGAACTGAAACCAATGATAAATCCCAGTGCAAACGTCAATTTAGATTTTAGAGAATGTAGATACATCTTGAATCTCCCAGAAATGCAGAACTCTCCAGCATTTTTCGGGGTTGAAATGAGATTTTGCAATAGAACTGAAATTGGAAAATAAATCTACTGTCAATTACTGAGAAAAAAAGTTTCTAATTCTCCGAACGAAGTTACTGATTGTAAAAGAACAGTTTTCTCGAAATTTTCAAACAAATTTCGTACTCAAAGTTATTAATCTTCTTCGACACCAAGGCACATTGATAAGCCCCTAGAGATTAATTTACTACGATTTTGAAAAATATCGACAACTTTCGGTAGAAAGTGTATTAAAAAATTTGAAAAATAAAGGTCTGTCCATTACCCTTTAAGGATAATTACTTCATGTTAAAAGAAAAAGCTCCAAACTTTAATGCCAAAAACCTAATTAGTTCAAATAAGAAAAGTTCCTGAGTCAAGAACCGTTGGGTGTTTAAATCAAGAACTATTTGGTTTGGTTTTTAAATGAAAACTCTTCATTCTTGAACCAAGAACATTCGAAAAGAATAAAATTCTAAAATAATTGAACAATAATAGAGGGAAGGTATCAGGCGATACACTTCAAAGAAAAAACATCATTAACTCAAGAATGAGAATGTTCTTAATTTAAAACTTCGGATGTTCTTTATGTGAGGCCTTAAAAGTTCCAATTTTCAGAACTCAAAAGTTCTAAATTCCATACCTCAGAGAGTCTTAAAATGAGAGAAAATATGTCCTAATGCAAGCACAATTATGTAAGATTTATGAAAAACATGTGAATAATTTAATTGTTCAAATGACAATAATCATTGCTGCTAATAAATCAGCTTTTGCTTCCGAATGCAGTCTTTTTGTCTCTCAAATTCTATTTCACTATTCTCTTCCCCTTTTGTTTCATGCCATAGGATTATCATGAATTGAAATGTCATCAAAACTTGCAACCCTGTAGCTTGGTCACCTTCGCGGGGTTTAGCCGCCGTGTTATTTGGACTCCAGCGTTGCCAAATTCACTCGACACTTCCCGGGCGCTTTTAGTAAGTTTCCGGCAAGTTGCGTAACGGCGATTTCATTTAAACATGGGAAAAATAATTCAACTGTTAGAAATATTTGCATTTTCTTTATGAATTACGGCAATTATATTGTTCTAACAACTATTTCAATATTTTAGACACTTCAATTGAAAATGTCAAATTTTTGCTTCCGAATGGAAGCATTGCAATCGTTTGATTTTCACATTTTCTAATTTTGCTTGGAAATGATGCATGAATGGTCTGAAACGGGAAAATACGAAGTTTAGAGACCATGTCTGTGCGTGACACTGTCCAGTCAGTGGTCATTTTTTCGTAAATTTGATAATTAAACGGGAAAAATCATTCCAAAAAGTTTGAAATTTTTTCAGTTAATTGGTATAACTTGAGACTAACTCCATGCCAAACTTCAGCTTGATCCGTCCATTAGTTTTTGAGCAATATCCATTCGTTTTTTAACCTTTTCTCCCAAATATTTCGGAAAATATCCAACCGATTTCAATAATTTTTTTTTCAAAATATTCGGCATGATGTCCTCTATCTAAATCAATCAAAACATAGATATTCGTTCATACAAAGTTTTTGAGATATTTGGATTTTTCTGTTTTTGACTTAAAATCCTTGTTCGCGCTCTAACTTGAGTAAAAATTGAAATATCGACTTGATATTTGACATGAAACTGTCGCTTATCATCGCAAGGATCGGTATGGAAGATGGGCTCAATCGGTCAATTAGTTTCGGAGGTATTCAACTTTGTATGTAAACTTAATGTCTTGAATATCTCAACAACGAGTCAACCGATCTCAATGATTTTTTTTTCAAAATATTCCGCTTGATGTCCTCTATCCCAACCAATCAAAATATATATACCCGTTCAAAGTTTTTGAGATGTTTAGATTTTTTTTGTTTGCCTTGAAATCCTTGTTCGCGCTCTAACTTGAGTAAAAATCGAGATATCGACTTGTTTTTCATTCAACTTCAGAAAAACTGAAGATAGAAAATTGAAATTTGATATGATTATAGCTCTTATAAATTTGAAGATTGATATTGTCGATAGGCGCAATCGGCCGAGTAGTTTCGGAGATATTCAACTTTTTGTATAAATCTATTTTATTAGAAGGTTGAATATCTTTCTGTAGATACCATGTAGCATGTAGTTACAGTTGTATGCTTATCACAAGGACAGGGAATTGCTACGGATTCATTCGCAAGCTTACTACCAATGGAATTGGTAGAAATAAAAGAAAAACGAACTAATAACGCAGCAAGTAACGGTCACATGCCTTCTGTCGGATAGGCTCGAATCCCTGCTTATTTTCAAGTTTTTTGGTTCGTCAGTCAATGGCAATTGAAGAAAAACGACGCGCTGCGGCGCGGTTTCTCTCGTATGGTGATCAATCTAGGGTGAAGATTCGGATTCGGCTTTAGTCAGGGTTTAATCAAGGTTTAATTGCGATCTAGTCGGGATTTGACTCGGGTTCAATCAAGTTTTAATCAGTGTTTATATAACTGGGATTCAATCAGGGTTGAGTCAGAATTCAGCCAGAGTGTACCCAGGTTAATTCAAGACTTAGTCGGGACCATGAATTAATATGAATGAGTATCCAACATAAAAGTCTGATATCTCCATTTGAAACCCCTTCAGTATAAAAATCTCATGACGCTATTGTGTAACTTGATAAGCAATGATGCTGTTTGTTGTATTTTAATGAAATCATATTTTAAATAAGGAGAAACTTGAGAAGCGAGCCACGTATGAAAAAATCGTATAGGAAGGGTCTAGCCGGATAAGCATGGTGAACCTGTCCCCAGCGAATTTTAAAGCGGCAATTTTTTCACATATTCACCACCCAAAAAAACAATTCTGTGTAAAATTTCTGTTTTTCTGTAAAAACTGTTTTTTTCGATTTCTTTTTTTGAGTACTTCAAAAGTACTTAAAAATCTGAAAAAATTCTGAAAAATTGAAAAAAAATCAACATTGAAGGGAAAATTTTTTAATTGATTTTTAATTGTTAAATAATATTTTTGATCGACACTTCTTTTTTTTTTTAATCATTTTCATAGGTAAAGATTTTTCTACCACTTTGACCAAAATTAACGAGATTCTAGCCTCAATTCCCCACATTTTGAGAAAAAAAAAGTTCGAAAAATCCACCTGCAACGCATTTAAAAAAAATAAAAACGTCAAATTTTTGCGTTTTTTCATGGAAATCCTTCCGTTCATCATCCCTACAGGTCTGTTAATTGATCACTATATTCAATCTAGTATTGTGGCACATTATACGTTTGAAGGAGAGCAACTGCTGGGCAAAATCGCTAGTAATGCAATAAAACGATTTGAGTTGACTGATATCTTAGCTTAGTTTCCAGGCAATATCTCCGCATCTAAGAGAGATAGCAAAATTTTTGTAACGACCTTTTTTGTAACTTTTAATTCGCTTTACAAGAAAAATTGTGAGAAAAAAATTGGTATCTGTCTTACATTCCGAGATATTCATTGAAAACTAACCAATACCAAAATTGGCTTGAACCGTTTTGCTGCTATGCTACTGAAATGGAACACAAGGTATGATAGTATTCCGAGTCAGAATAAAAGTCCTATTTGAATTCCGATTTTTATCAAAATTGAATTCGGAAAGGTCTAAGGAAATCAGTTGAATAAGCATAAAACATCATGTATAATCTCTACCATGAAACATATCTGGTAATCCATATATAAAATTAAAAATCCGTGGCGGGTCCCAAAAGTACAAAAATACCACAAATCTTTCACTCCTGAGAAATTGAATCGAGAAGAGAAGAGGCCACGCAGGTTGTGAATAGAAAGTATTATGCAAATCGTCACGGGAATTGAGCAGATCAAACACACATTTGATATTATGAAATTCGTAATCAAATTCTTACTATCTTCTGGTGAATCTTGGGTAAAAAATAATATTCAATTATCGGAAATTAAGGAACTAAGTAGAATTAACGTCCACTTTTCAGTTGATTAAAATTGAGAAAAACAAAATGTTAAGGAAAGACTTCGATAGGAGTCATTTCAGATTCGCCTATTCTGATTATATATTTTGTCAAGTTTGTGTGAAATTATATTTTGAATCTAAGAGGACGCCACCAGATCTTCAAGATGGTTAATTTTCCCCCACTCCTTTTGTATTCCCGCTTATTCAGTTGAGCAAGATGGCCGCAATGGTCTATTGTATCCCAAAATATCTCTAAAATAAATGTTTATATTTTAGTAGAAAATACGTGTTTACTGTGATATCCACCCCCTAAACTCACTCACAGAACATATTTAGTCCAATGGCTCATCGCGTTCACTTTGGCCTCTACGATACTTTCAATCATTTTGCTTATCCCTTCCATTTGAAACTTCTGATAATTTAGCTCTCCTGATCATTTCGCTGGTGCCTTCCCCTCATTTGCTGAGCTTGCCTGATTTTTACAAAGAAGTATGAAACCAACTTGGGAATTTTAATGGAAAAAATCAATCTATAATTTGAAATTATCAATTTCTGAGAATCAAAGATTTGATTTACAATGTTTGTCCTCTAATTGAGCCATATTGTTTGATTCATTCGAGTCCTTCAAGGTTTCCTGAACCTGAATTTGTTGAAAAAGAAAATTTACATAGGAGTCTACTTAGTTTCGGGATTCCATCATAATCTGCATTCCATTCCAATAGGGGAACGGTAAAACGATTTAAGCCGATTTTATTATTGGTCAGTTTTCAATGAATATCTCGGAATCTAACGCAGATATTGTAGATAATATCTGAAAGGATATTCTAAATCTAGTAATGCGAGGACATAAAGGGTATCTGAAGATCAGAGCTACACACATAACCTTCTGTACTCTTCTGTTTATTATGAGCGACTGACCGACGATACAAACATCAACGTGAGTGTCGAGTGAGTGAGAATGCGGGGGTCTGTATGTGTATGAGTGAGAGTCACTGTACGTGTCTGTGTTAGAGTATATTAATCGTCATTGTATTATCCTCAACACTTCCCCTCAATGTCGATTCACTTCCCCTCAAAGTTTGTTGCTCTCCACA